CTTAGGAACTTCCTCCATAAACCGGTTACATTCTTCTCCCACACCATATGCTCACTATAAGTCTTCATCGAAAACTCTTCACTATCTCGGAGCCGGAATTGCAACGAATGTTGCCCTTAGATACCATTGTCCTTGGGGTCATTCGTGTTTAGCCTAACCCAGTCGGGGCCAACGTCGTCACTTCGGCCATCTTCGACGTTAAAAATCATACTTAGAAGCTCATTAGCCTCTGTCGACCGACATACTGACAGGGTACGGCCGACGTACATATAACGTGGACCAACCGAATGAGGCCATGAGTTTTGCACCCTCCACGTCGACAGGCCCGTGCCAAAAGAGGCCCAACAATCACAATATAATATCTATCATCACCCACCTGGCTCGAGGGACTTTTGTGGCTCAATCACAATTTCATCAATCACCATATCATAATAGGAGTCCTTTAAGGACTTGGCAGTACCGGCCTATCATGCATACTATCATGTGCTCAATCACAAGCAATTTAACAATCAGCATGTTGTTCTAATCTATGTATAATATACTAGCACAAGCATGCCTTCACAAAACAAACACATTGACAATGTCACAAAAATTCACATAATAACATACTAGACATTCTATAGAAAGTTTATCAAACAAAGTTTACAAGTACTGTAGAGAAATCATTCTCTACTTACATGAGTTGCTTAGCAAAATCCGGGTTTAGCTCTCTTCGCTTCCCTTATTTGTTTTCCTTTCTGCTGTCCAAAATAAACAAATTGGCCATCATTATTAAAGCACAATAGCTCAGTCATAAATCAATTTCTAACTCATAATCATATTCCCCTGAAAACTGTAAATTGGCAGATTCATCGATCCTGACGGGAAAATTCATAAAATATTTTCTATATCTGTAAAAATTCTAAACTCAACTCTAAACAAAGTAAACATGTATATTTTTTCAACAAGCTATGATATACCTAAGTCTGATCTCTCTATATACCTAAAAAATAGCTCACAAGAAATCAAAATTTTTGTTTTTCTGTTTTTAACAACTTTTAGAAAGTTTTTACACGAAACTTCCTATGCGCACAACTCGGACTACAAAACTCCACAGGAGGTTATTTCAACTCTCACACATCACTAATAATGTGTTCTAAATAGTAGCATAGGTGGTTTAGGTGCAGCAATCCTGTTTCAAATAGTAGGAGCCTCAGTTCTTTATTTTATGAATTTCAGGAAATGACAGCTTTGACGACTGCTACAAGAATATTCACAAAATATTCTATGTAGTCTCAAAAATTACAAAATCAGTGCCTAATCGAAGTAGACATCTAAGGCTTTTCAAAGAGCTGTCATAAGATTGGTTTTGGGTTAACTAAGGCCTCCAAAAACATGTCACACCAGATCAAAACGTGCTGATTTTCTTACAGAATTTCCAGAAATCGTGTTCAACTTTAAAAATGCATAACTTCAGCTATAGTTGTCCGTTTGAGGTGATTCTTACAACTATACGCAGCTTAGGATGTCTATTTCATAGATCTACAAACATGAAGACCAGAATCTACCTGTGAAATAATAGTTTTCAGTTCTTCTTTGACAGCCACTTACGTGATCCTCTAATCTTATGATTTTGCATATAACCTCAACATATAAAATTCTCCATTTCTGTCCAGCCTAAACTCTTATTTTTACACATCAATATTTTGATGATTTTCGGTCCTAACACCATACTATTAGCACCAAGATTCATCCTTACTCACTTAACCTAAAAAATGCTATGAACATAACCAAAATCCACATAACCCAAAAATCTTTCAAAGAAAATTCAGACTAATATGTCTCTAAGGAAACTTTAACTTAACTTTAAGAAGGAAAAAATTAAGGCTTATGATTCCAAAAAAATAGTCAGCATTTAACATGAAACCCAAACAATCAAGCCACAAAACAACCAATTTTCAGATTTAAAGGAACAAGGGAGAAAACTCTTACCTTAAACCCTAGCTCCAATCAATACATTAATTCAATAAGTTGTTGCAGTCCTTTGTGGAAGAAGAAGAATGAATCAAAAAGAGAAAAACGCAGAGAGAGAGAAAAGAAGAGAGATGTGGAAGAGAGTTGAGAGAGAGAATGAGATAGATAAGTGAAATTTTTTTCTCTTCCTATAATGCGCTTGCCTCTCAACGTGGCTAAAGAAGAAAAAAATTGGTGGTTTGGCTGAAGTTCGAGCCATGCCACGTGAAAGGGCAGCTGGTCCCTTTTTTTAATTTTTTTTTTTCTAATATTGCAATCTAGTATCTAAATATGAAAATTCTTACAATCTTACTCCAAAGCCTTGCAATTTAATCCCTGAGCTCCTTTATCGTTTCTCTTACAATTCCTTCATACAAAAGTTTAAGCCCAAAAATTGGGACGTTACATTTTCTTTCTCAAAAAACGTAAAAAATAAAAACAAAAACAACTCCAAACACAACCAATGTTACATATTACATATTTTATTCTCTTAGTACTATAAAAAAATAGCTCAAACAATAATTATGATCAAGTGTGCAATTTCTATCATTTTTTTTTTATTTTAAGCTGCCAAATACTCGAGACCATTTACCTATTGTGGGCCCGTAGAACTTGAGAGTATAATTTTGGATAATCTTGACAAATACTCTTTAAAAGTACATATATCAGAATTTTTATCTTTTACTCTTGATTCATAATTTTTTTAGTCAAATAATTACACTAATAAAAGGGTATTTATCAAGAGTATGGGGTAAAAGTCCATACTCATGCACTTTTAAGGATAAATTCTCCATTTCTTCTATAATTTTTGTGGCTAGAAGCTTTCAAGGTCCACGACCACATGTTTCTATTATGAGAGAATTACATGTTTTATCTCATATCACCAAACCTCTTAATTTTACCCTTTTAAAAAACTCTACCCTTTTATTTATATGAGATATTTTCATCACAAATTGAAAAGACTAAAATACTCACAGATTATGAATCATAACCTGATGGATCATACTATGACTAACGCCGGTGACTGCAGGTCAGTGGACGGTGGAATCTGTCAGGTTTTGGCCGAAGACTCACCGGTGACTGGTGTAATATGGTTATGGATCATAACTTGTCAGGTTATAGCAGGAGACCCCGCCGGTGGCCGGGGTAATCAATTAGGTTATGGCCAGAGACCTACCGGTGGCCGGTGTAATCTGTCAAGTTATGGATCGTAACCTGGCAACGGGAGACCGTCAGCATATCTTATAATTTGCTAATGGACCATTAAGGGTAACTTTGGAATTTTAAAAATGTTTAGTTTAACTATTCTTCATTATTTTAATTGTAAAAAGGGTAGAAACCAATGAACTAATCTTTTGAGGTTAGAAATATTTGAGGGGTATTTCCCTTGTTTTCTCTTCTATTAAAGCACAATTTGTGTTTTCCCAAATAGAAGTGGGGTGTCATGATGGTGATGCATATATTAGTTTTTTTTCATTAGTTCAATTCGACATGCGTCCCACATGTAATGACATGAGGAATAATTCGTGTGTTAAGTTTTAATTACTGTTATTATTAAAAGCATATATAATTTAAATACAAAATCTCAAAAAGAAAAAAAGAAAAAAAAAATAAAGTTTTGAAGGCAAAAAAAAAGACAAAAAAGGACTAAAATGAAGAAATAAATAAGTTTTAGAGTAAAAGGGACCAAAATTAAAAAAATAAAATAAAGTTTCAAGATAAAAGTTAAAAAAAAGGGAGTCAAAAAATGACCAAAATAAAGAAATAAATAAGTTTTACGAACAAAAATGAAAAAAAAAAGGTAAAGTTTTAGGGAAAAAGTAAAAAAGAAAAAAAAGTCAAAATGAGGATCAAAATGATGAAATAAATAAGTTTTAGAGCAAAAAGAACCAAAACAAAAAAATAAAATAAAATAAAATCTCAGGAGAAGAATAAAAAAAAAGTCAAAGAATGACTAAAATGAAAAATTAAATAAATTTTATGGCAATAAGAACCCAAATAAAAAAAATAAAATTTTAGGGAAAAAATAAAAAAAATGAGTAAAAAAAAGAACTAAAATGATGAAATAAATAAGTTTTAATGTAAAAACACAAAAAATAGAAAGAATGACCTGAGGGAAAAAGAAAAAGAAAAAGGGGTGACATTTCGAGCAAAAAGGTATATAGATTATTAGCGTGCGAACGCGCTCATAACTTGCTTAAAACAATAGTAATACAAATTATGAGTGTTCATAGAATCCATCAATCCAATTGACCTGTGAAATCCAATCTAATCTGAAATCTTGAATTGGATTGAAAGAAGTTTTAGATTGGACATGGATTGAGATTTTCCCAATCTGAAGGTTTTGGATTGGATTGCATATTGAGCACTTTTAAAGCCGTGAAATCCGCGAATCTAAAACTGTAACGACCCGACTTTTCAGAACTACTTAGCTAACTTAAACACGTTTATCTTATATTAAAATACTTGCTCGACTTTAGTCATGCTCTTGGTTACTAAAATTTAAGGATTCTTTTTTCTTTTTTTACATAAAATTCTTTCATTATAAAACTTAGAAGCGTCCACTTATGATGTGGGTAAATAGACTTGAACATCAAAGTTAATTGAGGAAAACGATTTTCTAGAGAGCATTAAATTGAAACGTGCTTTACTTCCTTGTATTGAAGTGTAACTGAGTAAACTACGTATTAGATGCTATTTATTTATTTAAGTGATTATAACTTTAAAAGTGAATTTCATGTATATATAATCTACACTAGTACACACTACAACAGAGTAGTCCTTTTATAAGAGTTAGTTATAACGTTTTTGAAAAAACGTCATATTACGTTCTATGTAATAGGGTTTTAAAATACTTATCATATATATATATATATATCTCTCTAAAAATATCATGAAATTTGAACGGTTTTTTTAAATATAATTAAATATATGTAAACACACACATTAGAAGTAAAATTGGGCGGGGAGTGAAAATTTTTTCCTTGAAATTGTACGTTTCCCGCTCATGTGCCAGAGTGTTGCTAAGTCACACAGACGAACAAAGGAACAGAAAAAAGCCCGAAATTCTCACTCCCCCTATTCTGTCGAAGAGGCATTTACCCAGCCAAGGAAGAAGAAAACCTCACTCGATCCTCTCTTTCCCCCAAATTCCCAGATTTCTCCGTGCATTCTTAGGTTCGTGGAAGGAAGATCGATACCTGATTTTGTGAAGACTGGGTAGTGGAGGGAAGATCGAAGGCACGTCAAGCGCTCTTCCTACGCCAAGCTCGGTTACCGAAAGAGGTTCGCATTTCTCTATTTCTGTCTGTTCTCCATTTATGAAAATTTTTCCCCCAAATCTCATGGTGCCCGCTCGCTCATTTTGCCCCCTTTTGTATTTTTTGGTTTGTTTATACTAAGCTTTCTAATTCCCATACGAACAAGGCACAAAAAAAGCCCTAAATTCCCTCTTCCCCTATTCTGTCGAAGATCCTTTTATTTTTTCTGTTTTCTTGGACGGGCTTTTTTGTTCCTTAATGAGCCTCCTCAGCCCCTATGACACCTCCGCGCCGCTCAACCCCAATTGCCTTTCCAACACCACCTCATCGCCGCCTCAAGAGCAGCGCCTTCTTTGGCCTCCCTTGGCGTCCGCAATCGAGTCCAGCATCGTCCGGGACAGCGTCTACTTCCTCCGGATCGCGCAGTGCGGCTACGAGTACGAGCAGTCCTATGCCTTCTTGCCTCTGCTTCCCCTTTGCATCTCCTTCTCGCGAACAGGTTCGCCCCCAAAGATTCAGGATTTCGATTTATACCTAATTAGAAATTTCATAATTCTCTTCGTTTCATTCTACGTTGTGTTTTAATGGCGGATTTCTGTTTCAGTTTTTGCTCCATTGGTTCCAGTTATAGGGAAAAAACAAAAAACGTTCTGAGGATTACGTTTGGAGACCCATTTTCTAAAAAACAAAATTAAGACCACCCATTTTCAGTTCTTCTCCTGATCTGAGACCTATTTTCTAACACCACCTCGCCTGATCTGATTTCTGCATCTCCTCTCCTCGTCTGATCTGATCGTCCAACTGTGGCAGGTGTTTTCTTGATCGGCGAATATCCGGCCCTCTTCCCCCAAATCTACCGACGTATGGCCCTCCTCCAGGTGTTTAGCTAGTAATTTTTTCTGATTTTCGGATCATTTGTGCATATTTTCTCCCAATCCGTAGATCTGATTGCTTGTGATTTTGAAGGAAATTTTTGTTAATTTTTTATGTTACTGATTTCCCAATTCGTAGTTTCTGTAAATCTGATTGCTTATGATATTGCTTTTAAATAGTTGTTGCAATATGAAGCGAGTTTCTTGTAGTTTCTGTCTTATGCTTTTTTTGTGCTTTCTTAACAAATGTGTGGAAAGAGAGTAGGGGTGATTTTGGACTTTGATCTTTTTCTGCAATTCTCAATCGAGGTTAGTATTTACATGAGAAACTCTCTAGATTTTCGGAACAATTTGGTTGACAATAAATTTTTTTTTTTTGGTTACATAGTTTATGCTTTGATGCATGATAAATAGATTTTCACTCTATGATGATCATCAACTTATTCCTTGATGGAAACTAACCAACAGATGATTGCCAGCTGTACTCAATAAATTCAAGTCCCCTTAGTGTCAAACGCCTATTAATTTTTGTATTGCTGTGTTTTTTGTATATATAGGGCCGTTATGGTCTGATCTTAGATGTATAATCAAGCTATATAGCCTACAAGTTTACTGATCTCATAGCCCTCCTGCTTATCAAGATTATATCCCTTCTTGCGAAGGGCTTCTTCGGCGTTAGCAGCCTCTTGACGAACAGAAGCAACCTCCTTCTGAGCTGTCTCCAGGCTAGCCTTCGCCACCTCAAGCTCCTTAACAACAAGGGCGAGCTTCTCAGAAACTTTAGCCTTATCATCCCTCGCCTTCTTGAGGAGATCTTTCAGTCGCCCCTCAAGATGATCCATCTTCCTACTCTTCTCATCAATCGTGACCATCTCAAGATAATTAAGGATGGAAAAAGAGAGGGACTGCCAAAAGTGGGGAAGTTGTTAGAAAAATACACGTGTATACGCAGGTATAACCCACCAACAAAAAGGGGACTTACATGGATAGTGGAGGAGATTTGTTGACGAGCACGCTCAACCAAAGGAAGGCGAGAAGCACTCTCCCAGTTCTCCTCGAAGAAGGACTCATACATAGCCTGAAAGAGGGCAGAGAAGCGCGGAGGCATGTTCAGCGCTGCATCAATCTGTGCCCAGGAGACATCGATCACAACGAAATTTAGTTCCAGCACCCTCTGCCCGGGGAGCAGTAGACGCCCTGGCTCTGAAGGGGCGTCAGAAGCTTCAGCTTCAGTAACATCAATTACTGGCGTAGGCTCGGGTACTGCAGGGGTCTCCTCCTGTCGGGACCTCTTTGGTCTTGGCGTTTTCTGTGCCAAGGCCTTGGCCTCGGCGGGCTTTATCGATGAGACATCAGTGCCAGCAGCTTCGCTCGCGGCCCACGAGGTTGCTTCTTGGAACGCCTCTTATCTCTGGGGATGCGTAGACCAAGGGTTTTCATCTCTATAGCAGTTGAAGCCTAAGTAAAGAAAATAGTAAAAATGAAAGAAGAGAAAAAGAAAGGAGAGAGAGCTGACTGACCGCCGGCGGTAAACTGGAAAAAGTCCTTGACGGCGTCAGTGTTGGCAGGGTTAGGAAGGGATAATAGGAAGCAAAAACGTTCTAGGTTCTTCCGCGTCAAAAGGGTATTAATATGGCTCTCATCCTCTGGATACTTGAAGGCCGTCTCCACCCGGGCGAGCCTGTGACTAGCAAGCTGGGGATGATCTTGAGAAACTGCACAAGGAAAGTTAGGGTCAGTGGTATAATAACTTGACGACAATATGGTAAACGGTCGAAGGTACTCACTGAGCATCCCATAAGACCTTCTCACCCCTGCCCTCTTAAAGGGCCTGTCCGCTGGATGGACGTCAAACATGCCTTTTACCATAAAAAATATTGACTTCCATCCGTGAGACGACGATGACAGCCCTTTTATTAGCCTACCAAAGTGGGGCTTTGATTGCCCATAGCCACCCAAAAAATACCATCCCTTGTATTTGGAGACTTGACACAGCTTATATACAAAACGGAACTCATCCAAAGGAAGCTCTATGTCAAACTTTCTGTCCCAAAGTATCCACATGCTGGCGAAGATATACCAGAAGTTTGGCGCCAGCTGGGTAGGGGAGATTTCATGAAGGTTGCAGTAGTCCTTCATGAATGGATGAATGAGGAAAGTCATCCCCGCAGTAAAAGCCTGGATATAAACGGACAGATACCCCGGAGGAGGTTGACTTGCCCTGTGGTGAGGGTCGGGCAAGAGAAACTCGAACCAACGACCATCCACACACCTCTTCTAGTACGCATGGACAATGTCCTTATCACGAGTTTTTGGCGCCATGAAGTCGGCGGTAAACCACGGATGATCCTCATCCGGCCCTATCGACGTAACGGGAACATCCGTCGACTTGCCACTGATCCCAGCGGCGGAACCACCAACTAGGGAGCCGCGGAGGAAGAAGCTTCGGCGGTACTTCCCTCATCATCATCACCGTCGATCATTCGGTCGACGCTGTCTCCATCGTCCCATGGATCCGGGACATAGCCCTCGATGTCCCTTAGGAGGGAGTCGCTGGCAGTATGAATGGAGGGAGATTCGGTGGTTAGAGACGGATCCGGCCTTACCACAGGTACTCCCCTTCGACGTAGTCTTCTCCTAGGTGCCATTAAGAAAGAACCTAAGGTTAGTCTTACAAGTCAAAGGGAGGAGAAATTAGTTCGGGATTTTAAAAGAAAGAAAAAGAGTCCTGTTTGACTAAGACGCCAACCATTCAAACACAGCAGCGACATTCAAATACAATGGCGGCTGCTCAAGATAAATCAAGAATACCAAACAAACTCGAAACTGCTCAAAATTCCTATGGCTATTCCAAGGCATCGTGAATAAAAGTCAGAACAGTTTCCAAGCTCCTATTATACCGCTTTCTAGTTGTTTCCTTCTAAAAGTTTGAAGAATCTACCCGGAGCCAGGATAGATTAAACACGATAGAAGCATGAAGAAATGACAAAATGCTTACCAAGAGTTAAGAAGCGAGACTAAGGCGTGAACGTTGGGAAGAATATCACTGAGGAAAGCAAAAAGCCTTGGGGCAATTTCTGCAGAGCTTTGGAAAAACAAAGGAAAAATCAAAAAGGTTGGCTTTCGAGCGCTTATAAATATAACAGCCCTCAATCCCCAACCGTTCGATCGTACGCAAGCATATCCGACGGCGGGGGCATAAAGATCAGATCCTACGGTTGGGGGAAGAGTGGGAATCTAAATAGGGTTAATCCAAGGGCCCAGAGTCATCCAATTCAGGGCCATCATGACTCAGGTCCAGAATTAGGTTTCCATACCCGAGACAGACGAAAGGAAGCACCAGTGCAAAGTCCCAACCTAGCTCGAGGCCATCTAAAGGAAAGCCTTAACCTGGGGGGCAGATGTTGTACGGAAAAATATGCTTTGACACGTCAAACAACGATAGCGCTCCACGTGGCCCTGTAATAACCACATCAGCAGACCATCGACCCGTCATACCGCTGACCGCATGAAACCTCGGCGTTCATCTGACCCATATGAGGAGGTCTTTCTAAGGTCGACTGTGCAAGGGCCAGCTAGAAGCCGACCGTATAAATGAGGGGCCCCTTGGGGTAACGTCTGGGTTTGGGGGATGTCTGTAATACAGGCATTAATTACGACGGTGGAAGGTTGCAGGGAATACAGAGCCGTAATAAAGGACTAATTAGGTGAATGAACAGTCCAAAAGGTGATTAGTTGGCTATGGATATAGGCCCATAAGACAGTAGGCACTCAAGTGCTGGGTTCACAGAGGAAAACCACCTCCGGAAGTAAACTTAGGCTATAAAAGAGGGGCAAAGCCCCAAGCTTAGGAGAGGTTTTTTCTTTTTACACATGTAATCGGAGAACAGAAAAATATATACAAAAGATACAGTAGATGTAGCTCTTCATTAATAGAGTGAACTACTATAAACTTCGTGTGTCCATTTATTTAGGCATCACATTCATATTTCCTTCACCAAAAAGCTTACTCAAGCACTTCGCAAGCGTAATTTTGAATATACATCCGTATTAGGCCGGTAACCTTACAGGATACCAAGGGGTAACCCGGCACAATCCTGTTGATGAAATTTGATCGTCAACACATGTCATTCACATTTATAATGGAATGACGTTATCCGCACTGTTAATATGACAAGATATTGAATGAGTGTATTACGCATAATGAGATTATGTGGAATATGGACAGATACACAATATGAATTTTTGATAATTTTTGTTAAGTATAGAAATTTTAATTGATTTTACCATTGGTCATATATAGAATGATATTAACCTTAAGATCTTAACAGACTCCTATTTATTGATTTGTGTCTTTTAATTTATTCAGTACGTATTTCGAGATGTTCAATTATATTCCATGTATTTTGGAGACGTGATGAATTGAGTAGCTGAGAATGTAAATACACGAGATGGAGTCCATTTTTTCTTGAGAAAGACACAAATAAATAATTCTCTTGAGAATTAATTCGGTACTTAGACTAGTAGGAGTTCCGATTTAGGAATTTATTTTATGAATAATTGTCCATTAGGGAATCAGTGGTACTCAAGGACAAAGATGTAATTAGAGAGACTAATGAATTTAATTTATTAGTTGATACATTTTGTCAGAAAAAATAATTAGACATAATTAGACTGTTTTTGAATGGTTAAAACAGTATTTTTTTCTGACAACGTATTCGATTCAAAAACATATTTTTTGGTTAAAATAATATTTTTTTCTCCCCATTTAAAAACGTATTTCATTAAAAAAACTTAGTGCTTGTTTGGTGGAAGGGTTTAAACCACTATGATTTTAGTTAAAATAATATTTTTTCTGACAAAAAAATTTAATTTAAAAGGCTCTGTAACATTGTTTTCTCTCACAAGTTTTGAATTCTAATTCAAACCACTTAGCATTCTCTCACAAATTTTAAATTCTAATTTAAACCATTTAGTCTGAATCCGCCTTTCAAATGGACCCTTAACAATTATGACAATTAATATATATATCTGCAATTTAAAATAACATTATG